CTCTTTTGCTCCAGAGATGCGTGGGCATATCATTCAAAAGCTCTTTGTTCAGAGACGCGTGGACATATCATCAAACTCTTTTGCTCTAGAGACGCGTGGGCATATCATTCAAAAGCTCTTTGTTCAAAGACACGTGAACATATCCAAAAAGCTCTGTTGTTCAGGGACGATTGAACATCAAATCAGCAAGATGGCGTTCCCTACCTTGTGGAAGGTTGTCACAACAGAAAAATTTAGCAAATCGGTTACTTTCAGAGACGTGTGCTTGACGGTGCAAGATACGCATTTCTTAACTCTTTTATCTGTTTAACTGACACTAGTTTGCAGGTATCGGCGTTACAAAAATGATTTAGGAGCGTAGAACGTTCTGAATCATTCTCCGTCCCTATTGATACTTTGACTTTCGTTTTCGAAACTTGCGTTTCTCCAAACTCAGTCAAAGTGGGGGCTTCTGTAGAAACCCAAATATGTCTCCCCAAAACCAAAACCAGTGATAAGTACCTTTCATGTCATTTTATTTTCAAACAAAGAGAATGTGTGAAAATTCTAGTGATGAGGATGTTTTTATTAAAATATCTCTTCTTTCTGTTTTTGAAAATATTTCTTTTCTTACCTTATTTTTGAAAAATGTACATTCTAGTTTAGTTTGGTCCATGATAAGGGTCCAATAATGGTGTAGTTGGATGGGGTTTGAAAAGACTTTTCCAACGATAAATTATAAGCCCAATTCCAATGAATAATGAGGAAGTTATGGCCAAAATAATAAACTGGGCCCGATTTGGTTTTTATATGCGGCCCAATGATCTAGAGGAGGGCCTATTATTAATTATCATTCCTAAAGCTATTAGGATTTATTATAGTCTTCTAGAATATTCAAGAAGGTTCTTTTGAATCCTAATGGAGTTAGGATTGATAATTATGTTTTAAAGAGTTTGAAATTGAATAAAAACTACTCCTTTTGAGAATCATTGTTTTGTACGAAGTGGAATATATTCAGATTTTATTTTTGTAACTCATAATCCTTATCCAAATTTTATATGATTGGATAGATCTTGAAATTATCTTTCCAAAGATATATTATAATATTGAATCCGAGTTATACCAAAAACGATATGAATGAGACATGAAACTCTATCCAAAACTGACACCCTTCCACTATTTCGGCCATATCTATTATCTACAAAATATTTTAATCTAATTCTAATTGGGTTGGAAAGTAGACTTCAATATCTTTCCAACGACATATTATATGACTTATTTGGACTTTTGGATCAAAAGATATGATAAAAACAAAATCCGAAAAACTGTTTTCCAGCGCCTGGCGCCAACCATGGCGTCTGGCGCTAGAGTCCAGCGTTTGGCGCCACGCGCGTGTTTAACGCTGCGATCGAGTTTTATTTTCGTCGAAACTCTGATTCGTTTTTCTATTTTTTTTGGCTGATTATCTCTATAAATAGCCTCTTAAAATTCTGTTTTCAATCATCAATTCTTATTCTTTCTAATTCTCACCAACTCTCATCAAGATTCTCTTGATTGCTCTCTCTCTCTCTCTCTTTTCTAAACTAACCTTCTCTCAAATACAAAATTCCGCATTCATTAGATTTAGATACACCCAACCAAGTTCGAAGTTTCCTTCGCCCTAGACGTGAAAGGTTTTAATTTCTGGGGGTTTGGTCCCATATTATTATTTCAATTATTTAATTTAATTGCTTGTTTTATTATTTTTCTTGAAGTAACTAACGCGTGTATTTTGTTATTAGAAAGAGGTACGAGGCATCCAAGTAAGTGCTTTAATTGTTTGCATTGATATTATGATATAGAAATCATGTCTAGGTTGTTATTATGATTCCTAGTATCATGTTAGGATGCTTGATGTTTTGAATGACAACAATGATTCCTAGTATTATGTTTAGGGAAAATGTTATAATATCAAATATGCTTATTATGATTCCTGCAATGCTTCCTATATTCCTTCCTAATATCCATGTTTGTATCATGTTAGGGTTAAAACTTTGATTTTTATTGCTTAGTGACATGCTAGGGTTTGTTATTAATCTTGTTAGTATCATGCTTAGGGTCTTGCTATTATTATCCTTTAACATGATTATTATGATTATGGTTATTATAATTATTATTATGATGATTATTTTAATAATGATTATCATTATTTTTATGATTATTATTACGTTGCTTGATATTTATTGTTATTGCTTGATCACACCTTTTATGCATGTTTAAAGGGATTTAGTACTTGTAATCACGCTTAATAAGATAATTAATAATCTTGTTTAGGGTTAATATGATTATAATTCAAGTGATCGCCAATAATAGTTTATTTGTGCATTAATATTCAACCAACATAGATAAACAAGTTTAGGGTTAATCCTATTGCTTGCAAGTTAGTCAGAAAGCGCACATGCATACGATCAGAATAAAGTAGAGGTCTATTATTAGGGCAGGTTCAATCTCTTTTAGGTTGGGTTTGTACCTTCATCCCCGAACCCTATTTGGTTCAAGACCTTATGGAGTTAACGATCTCTTGGAACGTTAAGGGGTGTAACCTTCACCCTGTGAACGGTTTACAAGTTCCTAAAACTTGTTAGCAACTCTTTTGCTCTATCTTCTTTCCCTTTGGACGCCACCGTACTTTAGTGTACGATCACAATGGGTTCAAGCTAAGGGATAACGCTTGAAATATTCCCTACATTCTCCAATAGGAACAAGAGGGCACGAGTACGTATTAGTAGCCATCGATTACTTCACTAAGTTGATTGAGGCTGCTTCTTACGTGAATATCACTACTAAACATGTCCCAAAGTTTCTTGAACGAAACATATTTTGTAGATATGGAGTTCCACATGAACTAATTAGTGCTCAGTGATCTCAATTCAAAGCTGAAGTCGAGACCCTCTTAACTCGTTACAAAGTAAAACACCATCATTCATCCCCATACAGGCCTCAAATGAATGGAGCTATAGAGTCGACAAATAAAAATATTAAGAAAATGGCAGAAAATTATAAAGATTGGCCGAATAAACTACACTTTGCATTTTGGGGTTATAGAACGTCTATACGAACATCAATAGGAGTGACTCCATACTCCTTAGTTTTCGGAATGGACGCAGTTCAACCAGTCGAACTAGAAATACCATCCCTACGTATCGTACTTGAAAGTAAGCTACCGAAAGCTGAATGGGTAAGAGCGAGGTATGAAGAGCTTTTATTCCTCGATGAACGACGATTAAGAGCTTTGCATCATGTACAAGTCTACCAAAGGCGCATTGCGCTTCACTTCAATGAAAGAGTTAAACATAAAAATATAAAATAAGGTGACTTTGTACTAAAGGAGGTTAGGGGTCCACCAACCGATCCAAGTGAGAAATTCAAACCTAATTGGATAGGTCCCTAGCGCGTAATTGAAATCCTATCAGGAGAAGCCGTCAGATTAATGGATATTGGAGGAGATGAAATTCGCCAATTAATAAACATTGATCGCCTTAAGAAATATTACCTATGAAATCCGGATAAACTCGTTCACTCATACAACCAATTTTAATTAGCATTCAATTGAAAGATTCTAAGTGTTATGCATTTTACCAAATAACACGGTAAAATATATAACACTTGGGGGTAATTTAGAAATAATAAATCCTTCTAAGTGTTCAAATTTTTTTGAGCATCACGAAAATATCTTCACACTTGGGGGGGGTAATAATACAGAATTTTAAAAACAATTTTTTTCGAGACATTCGTAGCACAGGTGTCACGCGCAACTGGAAGAGTTATGCACGGATGTCACGCGTAATAGATTTCGTTGCGCGCGACAGGCTCGCTCAACTATAGACGTTGCGCGGCCCCATCTGGTGACGAACTACGAACCCAAATTTCTACGTTTGAATGAAGTTGCGATTTTTACTTGGAGCAAAAAGAGGGTGTTTCTTAGATATAACATATACTCGAACAATAAAATTAAACTTTGATTTAATTCTTTTAAACAAGGTTTGATTAATTTTTAATTTAATTTCTATATAAGAGATTAAAGAAAAATAAAAAATACGTAATAATAAAAAAAAAAACAATAGAACTACGCAAAGACCTGAGTTCGTAATGCGAATACATAGGAAATCTTTATGATTCGGTCATATCAAAATATAAAAATATAAAGCTCATTTTTATTTCATCCAAATTTCAATGGTGTCGCTGCTTCCTAGCTATCTTGAAGGGCATAGCCCAACAATGTTGGCAACCTGCCGGCTGGTTGTGTCAATAGCTTCAAGACGCTTACATTTATGTTTGCCTCTAACTTCTCTGTGAACATCCCTGCAAAGAAAACAAGTCTCGACCTGAATAATGTGTAGTAAGGGGATAGAGAAGGATTGCGCTCCTACGTAAGGCGATTCAATTTGGTGAGAATCCAGATTTAAGGGTTGTCTGACGAGGTAGCTTACAGACTTCTTCAAGGGTCTGAAAGACGGGTCGACCTTCAAGTTCGATCTCGTCTACAAGAAAATTTTCACCCTCCAAGGAGCCCGGATGGAGGCATATAGCTTTGAATAATCTTAGGGGTGTTAGTTTGTTTTTAGGTTGGTGATTACTTGGTTATGAGGAGAAGGTTTGATCACCCTTTTGCTTCACTAATTAGAAATACCACCAAATTCGAAATTTTAAGCCTACCATCAACCTTTTGCCCTTACGTTACAACCTTTGGGAAAGCCCTTTTGACCTAGAGGTTGAGTCACATATCGGGTGAGGGCATTATAAGTTAAAGCCTAAGGAGAGGGGATGCAAAGTCAAGATGTCAAACAACCTCAAATCTATTTGTTTTTCCGGTTCCTTCACTAGGTGAAAAAAGAAGATTGGCACCGCCCTAAGACCACCGGTTTTTAAAAACCGGTGGGGAAAAAGGGGGAAAAACGGGCGGGATTTTGAGGGAAAAGTATTTCCACCGGTTCAAACTGAACCGGTGGGGCAATTATTTATGCCACCGGTTTTGAACCGGTGGCTTTGTTTAAAAAAAACGGCCTTTTTTATTTAGCCCACCCCTTTTGTTCCTTCCTACTCCGTATATATAACCCCCTTTACCAAACCCTGGCCTCTTCATCTTCTCTCTCCTCCCTCCTCCTCATTCTTACTGATCTTCATTCTCTCCTCCCTCATTAGATCTTCCTTCTGATCTTCATAATTATCTTCTTCGTTCTTATCTTCTCTCGTCCCTCATTTTATCTCGTTCTGATCTTCTCTAGTCCCCTTCGCTCCACATTCATTCTCCTCTTCCTCTCATCTTGCTCGCCCCCTCCCTCCTCTTCACCTCTTTCGACCACCGCCGCGCCGCCACTTACTATTGCCGCCAAAGGTTTTCTGGTCAAAATCGACCATGAAAACTCTAGATATAGTGTTTTCATGGTCGATTTTGACCTTTATAACCGAAATTAAACATAATTTCGGGGGTTTTTGGTGAAATTCGAGGTAATTTCTCTCTTTTCTTATTTTTTTGTTGTTTTTGGTGGAATTCGTGGGTTGTGGTGGTGGTTGTGGTTATGGTGGTGGGTGGGATTAATTCGATTTAAATCGATTTTGAAATTTTCTCAGTTTTTTATTCGATCTCCTTCTGGGTTTAATTCGATTTTAATTTTGGGTTTAATTCGATTTTAATTCTGGGTTTAAATTGATGCAGGTGTTAATTGATGCAACAAGATTCAAGATTTGATTTTGGGATAATGTTTTTGATGTAATTTTTTTTTTATTGTACCATAATAATTTAAAGTTAGAATTACATTATTGATTATAATTCATTGTAATTTTTTTAATTTTTTTTGTATTGTATAGTAACTGTTATTGTTGAATATAATGAAATATTGCACTCCCATTATATTGATTGTGAATTGTGAGTTATTTGCCTGGTATTTTACACGGTTTTTTTAAAAATATTTTTATTATTATAATTAAAGCAAAAAAAATCATGTATGTTATTGCCACCGGTTAACCAGTGGCATTTATATGTAATATCCAAAAAAAAAAGCAGGAAGCATTATTGCCACCGGTTAACCGGTGGCAATTCTTGTTTTTGCCATCGGTTTTGAACCGGTGGCTTTTTAAAATATTATTGCCACCCCCCAAATAGCCACCGGTTCAAAACCGGTGGCATAAAGGGGTTTTGAACCGGTGGGCAATTGCTTTTTTCGCCCAGTGCTTCGAGGAACTATAGAGATGCTCACTAAAAGTAGATTTGAAGCCAATTGGGAGAATGTGCTAAAATGTTTTGAGATGAAAGTGATTTGCGTTTCTTTAGTTCTCTATGCTTAGCATGTCCTATGTTTCAATCAACCTTAGATATCTTAGAACGTGCACTCCCTTACTTGTTTAGAAAGATTTGCATTCACTTGTGCTTGTTCATTTGGAAAAAAACCTATCATGAACATTTTTTTATTTTGCTTTTCTTTGCTGTTCCTTTTTCATGCTTTGCCTTGTTTGTATTATTATGAGAGTTATAGGGTAATCTCTTAGGAAACCTTTACGAGAGCATCACTCGTCCTCTAGGGCGATCTAGGGGTTTAGGCTTGTCTTTAGTTGCTAAAATTGACCGTGATTCCTACGAAATTGAGTTAGTGTATATTCTCATCCTCACTAGTTTTCTTGTTTCTTTTTTTGCTTGAATAATGTCATCATTTTTCCTTGGGTTTGATTTTGTTTTGCTCGAGGACGAGCAAAAGTTTAGCTTAGGGGAATTTGATGAGCGTCATTTATGACGCTAAAAAAAAAATAAGATTTAGGTTCATTTTCTATAATTTCTTTCATTATTTTCATATGATTTTCTTAGTTTTACTTGGTTTTCCATTTTAATAATTCATTTTGGTTCTCGATTAGTTTTTACGAGTTTTTCATATTTTTAGATGATAATCCGTAGTTTTAGTTTTGTTTTTATTTTATTTTGTTTTCCTCCTTAGTTTTATTTGTGTTTTATAGGTGAATAATCAAGTTAAGTTGCACATTTAGAATGCTGCCCTCCTCACGGGCATCACCTCGAGTGCGCCGATGATAGGGATGCTCGGGAGCGCAGACGAGCCGCACCAACAACCTCTCACTCGCGCATAGGAATGACAATGGATCGGATTCGGGTCGGATGGAGCTCCACCCGCATCCACCCGAATTAATCATCCGCTCCACCCGTCACCCGCAAAACCCATCACCCGCATCCGATCCATCCGTCATTTGCGGATGAAACGGGTGGATCGGATGCTTAACGGGTGATAATTATAATCCTACTCTAACTATAAAATCTAATACGTTAGAATAAAAAATAAATTAAAAAAACAAAAAAAAACAAAAAACAAAACAAAAACTTTTAGCCAATTGTAAACTTAAAAAGTAAACCATTAATTAAATTTTTGTTCCAAACTATAGCAATAATAATAATCATGAACTTACTTTTTTTTTTTAACGGAATCATGAACTTATTTCGGCACTACATAATTAGGAATTGAGGGAGGTTTTATATTTTTTAAAATAAAATTAAAGAATTTTTAGATTTTTTTTTTTAGAAATATACCGTACATATAGTGTAGTATACTAGTATATAAGAAAATTGGGAGTTTATATATATATATATATAGGGAGTGGATCATGTGAAAACAAGTCTTTGGCTGAAAACTGAAAACAGGAATTCTAGACCATTGATTTTAATCTAACGGATTAAATTACATCTGCGTTTGGGTTTTGTTTTCTAATTTATGACCATCCATTATCTCTCTCCTCTATTTTTCTCTCTCCTCCATCTCACGTTCTCCATATCCTCCATTCTTTCTCCTTCCCAATTCAAAATTAATGTTGAACATCATCAAATTATAGAGGAATTTGGTTCAATCTTCATCAATTTCTTAATTAGCTTATAAAAAAGTGAGTTTTTCGTTTATGAATTTTGTTTAATTTGGTATTTTATACGTGTTTTTGGAAATATCAAATTGATTTTCCGATTTGATTTTTTTTGGGTTTTTTTAATTTTAGTTTCATAGGAGTATTTCTGAGCTGCATTCGTGTGATTTTAGTAGATTAGGTGACTTTGTGTTATTTTTACTCGATTTTTTTGTTACGAATTCAATTATGAATTACTAGAGCAGTACACTTGATTTGAGCTTTTCCCTGCTTATTCGTGTTTCATATGAGTGTAATTACGCGAAAATTCGACTTAATTTCTTCGTATGAAATCATTTGATCTACATTTTTGTTTTTTTTCTTGATTTGAGTAAATTAGGTTTGATGTGTGATTTAGCTCGATTTTGCATCTTTGATTCTAGAACTTGGATATTTGCTGGGTTTTTCATTTCTGATTTGTGTATTTTTTGAGTTCTTCATCTCTGATTGTTTAATTTTTTTTTAATTTTGCTCATTTTTTTTATATTATTTTTTGGAAATTATCGATGTGATTTGTATTTTTGAGTTTCGACTTCAATACATTTTCATAGGAGTAGATTTGATCGATATTCTGTTTAATTTTGCTTGATTTTGCATCTAACAATTCCATAACAAATTTGTACGGCTTTTATCTAGGGACTGTATCTTTCATATTGATGGTCAGTACTTGGAGGTAGCATTGACTACTAAGAAAATGTATAGATGCGGTCTGTCTTTGCAGGACAATGTATTTGTCTATGTGGTTGCATCTACTCGTATAAAGTACCAGTCGGCATGCCTTATCGAATAGGCGAATGTATGTTTTGGTTTTAATCAAGCCTCTACGTTTTTGGCATGTTGAAAGCCTATTAGCTCAATTGGTCGAGCACCGTGTAATCACGGGATGTAGGTTCGAATCCTACATATACTTTTTCTTAATACCCTTTATTTTTATAATTCGTGACTTTTGTTCTCTTTCATGTATTACCTAATTGAATTAATAGGCCGAGTCAAATTGAAAAAGTTACCTTATTTTTATATATAATGACCTCTGTGCAAGCATCGTCAAAATTGATATTATTACCTCATTTTTATATATAGTGACCCACGTATGTGTAAATGTCGTCAAAATTAATATAACTCGATATAATTACCTTATTTTTATATATATTGGCCTCTATGTAATTTTCATTAAAAATTCAAAATTGATATAGTTACGTTGTTTTTATATATAGTGACTATATAAATGTCGTCAATTTAGATAAAATCACCTTAATTTGGTATATAGTGACCTTTAAAACGGTTGAATTGATTATAGGTAAGGTTGGGGATTTTGAACCGTCTGATCTTTTGTACTAATAATGAATGACTGAGATTTATTGTTTTCAGCATAAGCCTTGTTTTCAACATAAATTTTGTTTTTAGCGGAACCAACCCGTATATATATATATACGGATGGACTCGGATCGGGTGATAAACGAATGACGGATGAAACGGAGCCCCACCCGAATCTGACCCGATCCGTCACCCGCTTCATCCGTCACCCGCCCTTCATCCATTTAATGCGGATTTTCGTCCATTTATTTATTTCGGATGGATCGGATTTGCGGATATCCATTTAGAATTACCATCCCTACTCGCGCACTTCCCTTGCTCCCGCAATTAATACCAAATCAACCCACACACATTTCACCTCCAATGACCACAAGCCCGCATCCATCTCTATCATCGGAAACCACCAATTTGCCATCACTACCGCACCTATCAATCAACCACCAATCAGCCACCAGCTACACCCCCCGTATTTACCAGATGTACCACCTTCTACCGCAACAAAAACAACTCCAACAACAACCGATTCTCCACCGCAACCAGCCAAGACCCGCTTCAAAACCGCCAGCAGCACACTCATCTCTAACGCAACCCACTCATCTCCAACAACAACCGTACCTTCAGCTTGCAGCCCCGAAACACTGCCGTGACCAATACTAGCAATGCACCTAATACCCACTGACGTGCGCGAGAAGACCCTTCGATGCGTGCGCACAAATTGGGTCATTGATGTTGATTAATCTTGGCGATCGAACGGCGATGACAATGGTGATTTGGTTGATATGCAAAACAGGGTATAAAACCCCTTATAAGAGCAGCCAAAATCGAAAGTCTTTTTTTTTTTGAATAGCTGTCCACTTACTTCGATACTTAACAATTTCTTTCTTCAAAAAGACTTGCGTGGACCTGGTCCACAATAATATTATTGTAGACCCGAGGTCTATACACACGCAACTGATATTATATTGAACATAGTGACCATTATTTTTAACATAGTAACCTTATTTTTAACTTAGTAATCTTTATTAAAACTAATACAACGTTTAATAATATTGTGAACTTGAAATATGACGCTATTACCCTAATTTTAACATAGTGGCCTTTATTATTCATATTGATCAGTATATAAAATATTTCATTACAAAAATAACCACTTAGACATATATATTACCAAAATAAATTTTTATTTCAATATAGTGACCTTTTTTTTTAATTATAGTGACCCTTTTTTTTTATTAATAAAACAACCATACTTTCTCTAATGTTAGCGGTCCACAATAAATTAGTGTGAACCAGGTCCATTTAAGAATTTGTATTCTTTCTTTTGTTTTCAAAAGAAAAAAAAAACAATTTCTTTCTTTTAATTTTCTTTTTTATTTTCCTTTTTTATTTTCTATTTTCTTTTTACTCTCTTTTTGTTTTGTTTTGTTATTTTATTTTATTTTCTTCTTCTTTTCTATTATTTTCTTTTCTTTTATTTTTCCCTTTTAACCTTGTAAATGTAATCCATTTTTGGGTTAGAGAGAGAACAAGTAGAAATACAATTAGAATTATAGTTAACTTCAACAATTCCTTTGTCCTCAACGCCTCCTAATTTCCAGGAAATAGTCACTTCAACAGGACCACATATTTCTTAGCTTAGTTGAGAGCTTCTCTCTCTAATTTTAGGGTTAGTTTTAGGAGTAGATTTTAGAGAGAGAAAGTGAGGAATTTCGATGGTTATTTGAGAGGCTGAAGATTCAAGATGATAATTGTATTGAAGATCTCCATTATCAATCAATGGGGATTTCTCATTCTCTCTCTTCTTTATTGCTTTGTTTAATTTCATGTTTGTTTGATTTGGTTTTGATGTTTAATGCTTGATTAGTGTAGCTGTTCTTGATATGATATATTGTTGATTCTTGATTTCCTTAGTCGTTAATTGATAAATAATGATTCTTGAGTAGTTGTTTGGCTAGAAATTGGGTGAAACTTGTATGATTGATTGATTGTGATTAATTTGGGAATTGTGTTGATTGATTGTTCAGATTAAAGTGATTAATGGAAATTGTGCATGTGTGTACTTCGATTAGGCCTTGAGAATTATGCTAGTTTGCATTGTAATTGCTAATGACACGACCAATTGATTTAGGAATTGCAATTATTGATTAGTTTTGATTGTGATTCTCTTAGTTTGTTATTCATAGTGAACCCTAGCTTAACATTTAGGAGATACCTCTTTGATTCCAATTGATTGCTCTTATCATTAGTCTTCACAACCTTTGATTGTCATGATCTTCCCAAGTTGTTGCAATTGACATGATTACTTGTTGATCCCCGTTCCTAGTGTTTTATTTCTTTGGTTACTTGTTTTGTTAGTTGTTAGTGTTACATCTTACCTTCGATTTTGGCATAGCTTAGGCACATAATTGAGAGTGCTTGAACATTACCGTTCCTTTATGTTCGACCCTTGACTTGCCTCTATACTCGTATTTAGGTATGTTAAGTGTTTATAAATTTAGTTTGACCGAGGGAAGATTAGATAACGACCTAGTTTCCCCCTTGTCAAAATGGCGTCGTTGCCGGGGAAGTGTCTTACGCTTTTTGTATATATGATTGTGGTTATAGCTTTGAATAAGCTTGGGGGTGTTAGTTTTTTTTTTAGGTTGGTGATTACTTGGTTATGAGGAGAAGGTTTGATCACCCTTTTGCTTCACTAGTTAGGAATACCACCAAATTCTAAATTTTAAGCTTACCCTCAACCTTTTACCCTTACGTTATAACCTTTGGGAAAACCCTGTTGACCTAGAGGTTCGTCACATATCGGGGGAGGGCATTATAAGTAAGAGGCAGCACCTACCGTGTAGAGACACCAGGCGGCAGACAGCTACCCAGAACTTGGAATGTAGATAGCTTGAAAAAGTACTACTTCTAAAGTTTTGTAATTATTGACTTATTAATGAAAACCTGCCTTCATTTCCAAACTTATCTTTTCAAATATTACAAAGCGCCGCCTGCACAATATGCAGACAGACCAAGCTCGAGATTTCATAGAGCGTCGTCTACACAATGTGAAGACGGACCAAGCTTAACATTTTACAAAGGGCCACCTGCACAATGTGTAGACGGACCAAGCTCAGTATTTTATAAAGAGTCACCTGCATAATGTGCAGACGGACAACTCTAAAAATTATAGGACACCACCTGCACAATATGCAGATGGACCAAGTTCAAAGTGTATAACTTACTGCCTGCACAATCTGTATTTAAAAGCCTTACAAAGGGACCGCCTGACCCAATAGCAGACGTCCTTACTGAAAAAGCGTCGTTTGCACAAAAGCAGTCGTCCCTAATATTACTCACCATAAAAAGTTAAGTCCCAAAGACTTAGCGGCTATCTATTCTTCTAAAAAAGAGGCCAAAGGATGGATATAATCTACCAAACAACCGTCTGCTCCAACATGAGTACGACTGTCTGTTCCAACATGAGTCAGACAACCGACGACGTCCATTTGGGCGAATTTTTTGAAGAGAGTATCTCCCATTTGGTTGGTACATTGCTCTTTGAACAAAAAACAAGCGGTTGTAGGGAATATTTCAAGCATCCTACACTTGAGCCCCACTGTGATCATACACTTAAGTATGGTGGCGTCCAAAGGGAAGGAAGCTAGAGTAAAAGAGTCGCCAACAAGTTTTAGGAACTTGTAAATCGTTCACAGGGTGAAGGTTACACCCCTTCACGATCCATGAGATCGCTAACTCCATAGTGGTTTGGAACCATGACTAGATATTCGGGGATGAAGGTATAATTCCAACCTAAAAAAGATTGAACTTTCCCTAATAATAGGCCTCTACTTTATTCTTCTCATATTAATGTGCGCTTTCTGACTAACATACAATCAATAGGTTAACCCTAAACTTGTTTAATCTATGTTGGTTGAATATTAATGCACAAACAAATCTATTATCTTATTAAGCGTGATTACAAGTACAAATTCCCTTTAAACATGCATAAAAGACGTGATCAAGCAATAACAATAATAATATATCAAGCAACATATATAGTAACAATCATCATCATCATCATCATCATCATCATAATATTCATAATATCAAAGCATAACAATATCATTAGCAACATCCTAGGCATGATATTAACAAGATTAATAACAAATCCTAGCATGTCACTAAACAATAAGGATCAAAGCTTTAGCCCTAACACGATATTAACATGATATTAGGAAAGAAATAGGAAGCATCATAATATCATAAATATTAGTTAACCCTAAACATGATACTAGGAAGCAATAAAATATCCTAACTTGATACTAGGAATCAACAAAATAATCTAAGCATGATTTCTATAACAAAAGATCAATAAAGTAATTAAATAACTTAATTCGATGTCTCGTACCTCTTTCTAATAACAAAATACACACGTTGGGTAACTTCAAGGAAAGTAATAAAACAAACAATTAATTTAAATAATTGAAATAGAGATTTGGGACCAAACCCTCAGAAATTATCAACCTTTCACGTCTATGGCGAAGGACACTTCGAACATGACTAGGTGTGTCTAGAACTAATGAATGTGGAATTTTGTGAGAGGGTGACGAGGGGTGGAACTAAGTCGTTGAAACTAATCCTCCCTCGGTCAAACTAAATTAATAAACACTTAACCAACCTAAATACTAGTAAAGAGGCAAGTCAAG